CTCTTAATTTTTCATAATAATATTCCTAAATAGTTCTATCCCATGACATATATTTGAAATTCTTCCTCTAACAAATAACTTTTCATTATTTTTTCCATAAATTTATTTTTATTTTCCATCTCTCTATATACATTTTTAAACATTTCATTAGAAGTTTGTTCCGGTATTATTCCTATAATATAGAGTTGACTTTTTTCTTTTGGGTGCATAGTATTCACTATTTTCCCCCCTAAATTTGATGACCTTTCTTTATAACTTCATTTGTTGAAAAATTTGTAATAGTTACTTTATTTTTCACTATTATCTCGATTTTTTTGTTCATATTTTCTTATTCACTGCATAATATTTTCTTCCATATAATTATTTTTATTTTTTCAATATACTTTTCTTCTACTGTTTGTCTGTCACAGAGATCATTATTCTTTCTCTCATTTTGACAAACTTTCTCCTATTGATTTCTACATTTTTTATCATCATAATGTTAATTTGTTTTTTACCATTATATCATATGAAAAAACATAATAAATCATCCAATTAATTTTTTTATTTTGTTGAAGATTATCAATCTTCATCAAGGTTAGAAAATTCATCGGTAAAAATCTGATACCACACTTGAATTCCAAGATACCTATGCAAAAGAAAAAGGTAAAAATTTAGCACTGGTATGAAGTATTAATTCTCTAAAGTACGATGAAACAATTTTGATTCTGGGCCGTTGAAAATTTACGTCTTATTTATTTATTTATTTATTTTATCTAGACGTGTTAATGTTATAAGGGATAAATTAATTTAAATATGTAGTTCTTATAATTTTATTTTTTAAAAAAACTTATTTTATTTGATATTGATATTTATTTGTGTTAAAATTAACGTTTAGTCTTCTGCACATCATGAATGAAATTTAATTTATTAATGATTAGCAACTAATCATCATTGTGGTTGTAATAATTATAGTCATAATATAAATAAAAGACTGGAATTTATTATGGTAGTAATCATTTGCTTGATTAATCGATGTGACTTAAAAAAAGATTAATTTGTGTGAATTTTTGCTCATGTATCAATGTGTGTGATTAATTAGTGATCGTGTTGTTGTTTTCTCCTCTCTGGCTCATGATGATAGCCTAAGTTTCTTTATTAGTTTTCTTTTTTGTTTTCGGTTTTTCATTTTCATTTTTTTTTTGTGTGAAGAATTGGATAGACTTATGTAGTTTACAATTGAAGGGTTTACCATAGAATAAAATTTGGGGGTTTCAATTTCCATTTCAGTTGTGAAGGTTCATGTTGATTCAAAATACAATAATTATCAGATACATATATAAATTTTTGTTCAGTTTGTTGTGTGTCAAACAGTGAACAACATATAATTAGGCGAGTCTTACTCTAAAGAATTGATTACTTTATCCATCACAATTAACTTCTTTTTTTTAGCGCGTTTACACGTAAGGCCATTTTTAGGCATAATCGTATGCTCTGATTTTTGCAACTGATTTTGGGAATTTTGTTTTTTTTTTAAAAAAAATATATATTTGTTGCTATCCTCTCCTTGTGCGAGTTTATCAAGTATGTATGTTCCTTTTTTGTTTATTATCAGCCTTTTTTTTAATGATAATATTTATTTTTACTGAAAGTTCTTACGGGATTATTTAATAAAGGAACATCAAATGTGGTCTCAACTCTCAAGAATTATCTTTCACGAAATAGTGTGAGTATATAAAAATGTATGTGTACTTTTTAATTTGAAATTTTAAAGCTTATTCTTTTTTTAAAAAAATGTTTAAGCTTATAAATAGTGCTTAAGATTTACACAAAAAAAAAATGTCATACAAATTTTTAAGTTTATTCATTTCAATTTTTATGTTTTATTTTCTGAAAATCTATTTCTAATTGATTGAAAAAAAAGAAGGAATGTTACGGGAAGCTAAGGGAATTTAGGATTTTACCTATAAATTGGGAATTTGGATTTTTCTAAAATACATTATTTCTTAAAAATCTCCCGTAAGAGACTAGTTTTATTGTTCTGTTAACTCAAATATTACCCTTACAGTTTACCTATAAATTTATAATTTTATATTAAAAAATTACCATTAAATGATGGAGTGATGTGGTCGTGACATGTGGACTTGGTTGTCTTATTTTTCGCCACGTGGACTTGCTATCTAATTTTAAGTCATGTGTCCGATTGAAAACTCTTCTTTAATACATATAAAGATATAAAGATAAATATATATATATATATATATATATATATCTTACTATATTAGAAACAAAAACCACACTTTAGAGAAAGCACCACCATTTGCCACGTGACATTTCCACATCATATTTTTAAAATAAATTTTTATTTACACATATCCTAGACTTAAAAGGCAAATGCATTCCAAATCCACCTCCACCTCCTATTTTCGCCAAAAAAAAAAAAAATCACGAGTTCATAAAAAACCCAAATCTTCATCCCCATCTCTACGACAATCGACTCCCTAATCAATCCCTTCTCCATTCAATCTTTTCATTAGTGATGATTAACTACATCCTAATCATATAAAATTTCGACTTCAAAAAATATTCTCTTTACCTCTCTATATAAACACAAAGGAAAAAAAAATTCTCATTGATCTTGCTTCGGCCGTTGTGGTGGTTCTACAGATATTAAAATTTAAATGATTTTAATTCTACAGATCATTTGTTTGGCTTTATTATTTTTTGTTTTTCCCGTTTAAGAATAGTGTTATTACTATTATTTTTATGCGTCCCATCCGTTACAGCTACCGTAGCCGTTGTCAGGTAATATGATGTGATTTCTTATATTGTTAGTTAGCCTAAAATTTTTGTATGATTTTAGTTCTTTTTGGATTGAATTGATTAATTAGGTTTTTGTTACAAAGTGTGGTTTTTTAAATTTCTTTTTAATGTTTCATTCAATTAGAATGGTTTTCTTTTTTTAATTATGGAGTCTCAGGTTTTTTTTTCCCTATATGGTCAGTTATGAAGTGTGTTTTTTCTTTGTTTAATTGCTTTTGATTTTTTTTCATACTCCCAGTTGACCAATTATTATTATTATTATTTTATTTATTTGCAAATGAAACGTGTTTTTTTTTTCGGGCTTTCAAGAATATACTTTTTTGGATTTGGTTTTTGGATTTTCATTAGTTTCTCATCATATAAATAGTTCAGGTCGCTTCTTCTAGCTAATTTATAGGGAAGCCTTTTATGAATTTGAGATGGAGAGGGAAGGAATGATGTTTCTACGTTTATTTGTGTTTTCATACATTTTTTTTACCTACAGAAAAAAATAAATTTTTTAATTTTTAATGGGCTATCTTTTACTTTTTTTTTTTTAATTTGCCATGGTAAGGTGAGTTCTTTTTTCCTATAACCTGAAACCTATGTAAATTTACATTATTTTTATTCTCATATTTGTGATCAACCAGTTCAACAATTAACCAGTTTCAAAATCATATTTTTGATGTTTTACTATCTATAAACTTTTGGAAGAAACAGTTTCAACAATTAAGCGTATACCCTTTGGAGGAAGCTTACTACAAAGCTATTATAAATCTCCAAAACTAAGTATTGATTTGGCACAACCAATGGAGAACATCAATAAATTATCTTACTAATATTTAAACTTATTAGGATGCTTTTATATTTTGTTTAACATTTACTTCAAGACATATATTTGATCAAGTTTATTTATATTTAAGAAGTAACACTTATAAAATATTTCTAAAATCTTCAAACATTTCTAAAACGTACCGGGCAAAATACAATTTCTTTTTATGCCAAATACAAACATTTCTATGATCACACTTATAAAACATTTCTAAATTCTTCAAACATTTCTAAAATATATCAGCCCAAATACAAAATATTTTTTTTTCAGATAAAAATATTTCTAAGATCTACAGATATATTGGGCTAGGGTCGCGCATTGCGCGACCAAACATCACTAGTATGTATGTGTATATATAATATAATAGATATATGTCACTGAATCGATGACTTGGCTTTCGGATTCTTGAAGAAGTTCCCAATATGCCAAATGTCAAATGCATAGTAGTAAGTATCAAAGGAAAACAAGACGACTCATGGTGTTGAATCGGACTTGCAAGTGAATCGTAAATTTTTTTGCCGTATCGTCCGAGTCGAGACGTATCGCCGTATCGGTTGAATCGTCCAATTTTTTTTTTTAACTGCTTAAACCATCTTTTTTTTTTCTTTTCACATATTTTTTACCTTATCCCAATTAACAAAATCATTTATTTAATAAATAAAAACCCTTCCTATTCCTTTTTTCTAATCAAGATCAAAATCACCGTAATCACTTTTTATTTTTTTATAACCCTTCCTAATTCCTATTCCTACTAAACTTTTCCCCGATCATAGTTCGTCCAAAAAATCCCTAATCTTCTTTCTTTGAAATTAAGCCGTCCAGTCTAGGTCTCCAAGAGGATTAAAACCATACAAAAAGACACACTTTTTTGCACGACTTGATTAAAATAGTTAAATAAAATATGTTAATTTAATTATGCATAATGTTATTTGTCTGTAATTCGTAGTGATGATCTCACATGTGCTTTAGGTATTTTTCTTTTTTGGCGATGTTTATTCAGGTAAATAATGACATGAAGTAAGGATTTTAAGGAAAGTTTTTTACTCTTCTTAAATTGAACTATGGAAACATTGCCTGCAGCCACGCACTATTACAAGTTATGCTAGTTTAGGGAAAAAATATTCTTAAATAAATTTTTTTTTGCACTGATGTACGTACAAGTGAACTGCAGTAAAAAATTTATATATTTGTCTTCCTTTTACTCATGTTCTTCTTTTCTTTTTTGTTTTGTACAAAGATGGCTTCAAAATAAAAAAGAGTATTGGATTGCACTTGGGAGCATTGCACTCGAGTTCATGAAGTATCATCAGAAGGTAAAAATAATATAACTAGACTCAAATTGATGTGTAATTACTGCAAAAAAGAGTTTTGGGGTGGAGTTTTTAGAATGAAACATCATTTAGCTCGAACTAGAAAAGATGTTGCATTATGTGAAAAGGTTCCACGAGATGTGTCAACAAAGTTTCTAAAGATTCTTGAAAATTTGAGGGAGAGAAAATCTGTGGATGATGATATTGTTGATTTAAGTTGTTTTGATGAAGAAAATGATGACAACGATAAGAAGTTCAATGGTACAGGAAAGGGGAAAAAACAAGTCACTATGAATTCTTTCACTAAAGATAGGGCAGTGCCATGTATGGATATTTGTAGATTTTTTTTATGCTCATGCATTGCCATTTCACTTGGTACGAAGTCCTTTGTTTAAGAAAATGAGGAATTCTGCTATTGAATATGGAAAGGAATGAAACTTCCTTCTTATCATGAGATGCGGGTCACTAGCTTGAAAAAAGAAGTAGAAAATGTAAATTTAAATTTAGAGAAGTATAGAGTTAAGTGGGAAAAAACAGGTTGTACTATAATGTCAGATGGATGGACGGATGGTAAAGGAAGATCAATTACCAATTTTCTTGTGAATAGCCCAAAGGGAACCGTTTTCCTTGAATCACTTGATACATCTAATACATGTAAAGATGCTAATCACTTATTTGAGTTGTTAGATTCTATAGTTGTAAAAGTTGGAAAAAAGAATGTGGTTCAAGTTGTCACCGATAGTGCATCAACTTATGTTGCTGCAGGGACCTTGTTAATGGAGAAAAGAAAGAAGTTATTTTGGTCACCTTGTTCTGCACATTTGATTGATTTAATGTTAAGTGATATTGGTGAAATTTCTGTGTACAAAGAGACACTAGACAAAGCAAAGAGGATTACCAAGTTTATTTATCATCATGCTTGGGTGCTTGATTTAATGAGGCAACACATTGGGAAAAGAGAGCTAGCAAGGCCTGGGGTTGCAAGATTTGCCACCACCTTTCTCGCTTTGAAGTTTATTTTCAATAAAAAAACAGGCCTTGAAAGCTATGTTTACATCTCAAGAATGGAACTCAAGTACTTATGCCAAGAGAAAGGAAGCTAAGAAAGTTGAAGAACTTGTGTTGGGTGATTATGGCTGGCATAAAATAATGTTTGAAAGGAGTTGTTCCTTTGGTGAAAGTATTAAGGTTAGTTGATGGTGATGCAATACCTGCAATGGGTTATATTTTTGAAGCAATGGAAAGAGCTAAAGAACAAATGGCAAAGAGCTTTGACAATGTCAGGTCAAGATACAATCGGATATGGTCCATCATTGATACTCGTTGGGAATTGCAACTTCATAGAACTCTCCATGCGACAGCTTACTATCTCAATCCAAAGTAAGTTCTAACGAATGAATTTCTTAAAGTTTGAATTATTTTATTAAGTTATGAAGTTTGGCTATGAATTGATGTCATTGTTTTTTCATCATTTAGATTTCACTATTCAAGTAACTTCAATGCTAGCCATGAAGTTAAACTTGGATTGTACAAAACAATTGAGAAAATGTTTATGACATTGAGTCAAGAATCAAGATTGATGAACAGTTGGAGAAGTTTCACAAAGCTGAGGGAATGTTTGGTTTAGACACGGCAATAATTATTAGAGAGAGAAAGCAACCTGGTTTGTTTATTTTCTTTATTATCTTATTGTTTTGTTCAAGTATGTTTTAGCTTTCATCTTATTGTTATGAGTAAGTTTATGTTTCTCTTTTTATAACAGCAATTTGGTGGGAGAGTTTTGGAAGCGGTTGTAAGGAACTTCAAGATCTTGCAATACGCGTACTAAGTCTTACTTGTAGTGCTACGGATTGTGAAAGGAATTGGAGTATTTTTGATAATGTCCATTCTAAGAAAAGGAACCGCCTGGAGCGAAAAAGAGTGAATGCATTGGTATTTGTTAAATATAACATCAACTTGGAGTTAAGGCAAAAGAAAAGGTAAGAGAATGATGACACTTATGATCCGATTTGTCTTTCTGATATGGAATCAGATGACGAATGGATAACTGAAGTAGAAGACTCATGTCTTCCAGAAGATGATTCTTGGTTGGACATTCATGAATGCTTTTCTGAAAGTGAAAGTAGCAAGAATGCCAAGAAAAGAAAAAGAGGTAAACTTAAAAATTTCTTTAACAATTTTTTTTTATTATGGTAAACTAACTATATTTATTTATGTGTTTATAGGACCAAAGGATCTTCAACATGACAGGAGTAATAAAAATAGTGTAATTATTGAAGAAGATGAATTTCTACAAGAAATTGAAAGTGATAGTAGAAGGAAGACCAGAATCTTTTAATGATGAAGAACAATTCATAGTGGAAGCTCCAGATGAAGATGATTTCTTGTTTGATATGGGGAGTGGTGTTTAAATTTATTGGGATGAAACTTTACAGATTTTGCTTTCAATTCGTAATATGGGCGAATTTTGTTTTTGTGCAAGGTTGTATTCAAAGCTTGCTTCCATCTTTAGATCCTAGGTCTAAGGGATGATATGAATATTTACATCTAGTGATGCCCATCTATATTGATATTTTGAGTTTGGAGTTTGGACCTTTCAAATGAATGATTCTATTGAAATATAACAAATCTCATTGTTATTAAAATTTCTTTTTGAACTTATTATATTATATTATGCATATTAAGGTTATTAAACGTATTGTACGATTTGATACACGATACATGATACTTATCATGAAATTGGATTTCTGATACACGTTACGTATCATGATTCGATAACTATGGCCAAATGTGACTATTATTGATCATTAGATAGAGTACATAGTATGTACTACATATATTTCGCAAGGTTCGATTTGGTTAGAAGAAGTGAAGCTTCAAAGCAAAAGGCAACTAGATACAGAACCATAAGGAACAAATGAGGGCCAAGAATAAAAGAGAAATAAACAAAGAACTGAATGAATTGATGAACTGATCCAAATCGGCAATTCTCAGTTCTTTACTGAAACTGCCAATGTCTGTCCATAAGAATGAAAGAATCCAAATCACTAAGTTACATCCAAATGCTAAACTCTCAAATCTATCTGAGCACTTTCCAGAATATAAAAATGCAGACCATGACTGCTAAGGTGGATGATAGAAATGTAAAGAATTAAGGATGTAAAACCAGAATGCACCAGGTGACAATATCTGTTCTCTGTTTACCGGCTTTCTTGCTGATTTACCAATGGTGACAAGTTCTCACCCTCAAATCACATGCTCAGATTCACCTTCTTTATCTTGTGCATCTAAGTCTCCCTGGGTCTCCAAGTTAGTAGGAACTTGAGCACCAGATTCATCATCATTGAGAGGGGTGAGAGGATGACTATCTGTGATGGTCACTTCTTCTGCATTTTCTCGCAGCCAAGCTTCTTGAAGTTGTAAGACATACTCCAAGTGCCATAAGATTTCCCCCATTGTTGGCCTGCTTTTCCCTTCATCTGCTAGGCACTTCTCTGCAATTTCGGCATATCGTTTTATTGATTCCGGAGAATATTTCCCTCTGAGTCGTGGATCAATAATTGTTTCGAGAGATTTCTGGCGTTGATTCTTCATTGCCCATTCTGCAAGGTTAATTTGATCTTTTGGCAAGGTGGGATTTATTACTGCTCTTGCACACAGAACTTCAAACAGAACCACACCAAATGAGTAGACATCTGACTTCTCGGTTAACTGCTGCCTTCTGAAATACTCAGGGTCTAGGTATCCAAAGCTTCCTTTGACAGCAGTACTCACATGGGTATGCTCTAAAGAAGGACCAGTTTTGGACAAGCCAAAATCTGCCATTTTCGCCACAAAGTTCTCATCTAACAGAATATTTGTAGTCTTAACATCCCTGTGGATAATTCCGCGTTCTGATCCTGTATGAAGGTAATGCAGACCGCGGGCAGCACCAATGGACACTTCGAGTCGCTGCTTCCAGGTCAATGATGGAAGGTCACTCCCAAATAGATGACTTCTAAGAGTGCCATTAGCCATAAACTCATATACCAAGATCATTTCATTTGCTTCATCACAGAACCCAATCATTGCAACAAGATGCCTGTGCCTCAATTTTGATAACAACTCAATTTCTGTTTCAAATTCTTTTAGGCCTTGCTGCGATTGTGGATTAGCTCGCTTAATAGCTGCAAGTGTAGAGTCTTCAAGCTCTCCTTTATAAACCTTACCAAATCCTCCAACTCCAATCACCAAACTTTCGTCAAAATTGTTGGTGGCTGCTTTAATCTCCGCAAATGTGAAATGCCTTCCAGTAATGCTAGTACCAAGCGCACTGGGATTTTGATATCTCAGAGAACCTTTGGCATTAGCCGTGCTCTCGTGAAGGAATAATGGCCTCCAACCTGGAGAGGTCTTTTTCCCCTCAGCATCTTTTGCTCTTGGCTTTCTGAATAACCAGAACATCAGTGCTACAATAGCTGCTGCAATTGCAATTGAAGCAATTCCAGCACCAATTGCCACCCACAGTTTCAAAGTTTGCGAGGACTTTTTCAATTCTAAGTTTCCATATCTTTGTACATAAGCTAGGTTACCATCTCTACTCAACTTGAAAACCTCCAGACCACTCAAGAGAGCATCAGTTCCAGCAGCACTCGCGCTACTGTCAGGACCTAGCTGTATCCAAAGGTTATTTGTTGCAGGAGAAGTAACATCAAAGTAATCCTCATGATATGCCCTATTCTTTCCTCCTGCTCTCATGAATAGGTCGACATTATCAGCAGCAGTTCTATTATTTATGTAGATTCTGAAATTTCTTTGACTTGAGACATTGAATTGGAGCTCACAGAAATGTAACCGAACAAGATAATCAAAACCAGGATCTACTTCCATTTTCCATGACATGTTGAACCTCTTCTCAGTTACTTGCGAGTTGGACATAGTTCTTGCTGATTCGTATACAAGAAGAGGAGCAACAGATGTATCATTTGGTGAAGCATAGACTATAGCAGATTGGTTACTGATTTCGGAACCTGCATCCGGATTGATCATGTAGCCCGAATCTACTTCCCATAACCTCCAGAACTCCTTATCTTGATCAGGTCGAATTCTCCCTCCGCCAACATTCAACCTATAGACAGTCTGAAGCCCTCTTTTACCAAAATCAAGAGAAGCATTAGCACCATTTCCACCAACTTTCTTAACAGATTCAGCAAATAAGTTATCTGCAACTGGTATGACTTCAATCGCATTCACAAGACCAAAAGTACCTTTGCTTGGAATAAAGTCAACCACCAACACATTAGTATCCACATTGAAGATATACTCCTTCACCAATGAAGAAAAACTGGAATTGCCTCCAAGCAAGAATTCATTCTTTTGTATAATCTCTCCCGGGATGTTGAATTCAGAAATTAACTTCAAACCATTTGCTGATACCGAAAAGTAACTCACATTGGCATCATAATGTTCGAAAACCAGTGGATAAAAATGGAGCCTCAGAAAATATCTTCCCTGAGGTACTTGGAATGTATAATTGAGCCGGTCAATGAAAAGCCTAGCATTCTTGTACAGAGGTGCATAAACTGGATCTCCATTGAACGTAGCAGAGGATGCTTCAATTCCATGTGAACTCAGAGTGATGTTGTTCCCTGGAGATGAGTCTCCAATCCATTTTCTACCATTCACGATAACACTTGAATTTGACCCACAATTCACCAAAAAAGCATTCAGCTGGGCATTCCCAGCTCTAACAAGTATAAATATAACTACAACAAAGAGGCCTAACATTCCCATGCCTTGGACCTTCATAATAATAACCAAAACTTTAATTAAACCTCTTTCTTTCCACTATCAAGCATTTAACTCTGACAATTAACCGAAGATTTCCACTCCAAATAGAACCACAACCAGTCACTCAAGTTGAAGATCAAAGATAGATTAAAAAAAGTCTAAGCCTTGAATCACAAAAATGACTTCACAACCAAAAGTCTGATCAATAAAGAACTGAAAGAATGTACCAGCCGATAAACAAAAGAAGCTACTTTCCCACCGTCTTCAACAGTGTAAGCACATACCTCCTTGGTTACGTTCTCTAAAATCTTACAAGCATTTGCCTCTAGTCTTCAATGGCACCATCAGAACCCAGAAAAAAAAAGGGATATAAGCAAAAAAAATTCTTACAAGCAAGGCTTCTTCATTAAAATAAAAGAAGCCCAGTTAGCAAATAGATCTGAAGGAGTAAGAACAATAATCCAACAGTAAATGGGGTGCAAAATGGTAATGGAGACAAAGGCTATGAAAGCAGAAAGGAACAATCTTTCATCAAGAATGAAGCTGCAAGTTGCAGAGAAGTTTTTCTAAGCTGAAAATGAATGATTTTGGAAATAATTAGTTTAGTTCCTTCTTTGCCTTTTTGGCAAATTGGCAATCGCTGGAAAATGAGAACATGGGCTGGCTGGAGTTTTGTGTTCCAGACTGGAAACATTCATGTCATCTTTGTATTTTTTAAAATTTTTTTTTAACTCTTTTCTAAAATAAAAAAAATGTCTCATTTATTTGGGTTCGTCAGCTTATCTATAATCTACTGCAAATTTGTCATGAGATTTTTACTTTACGTTTGGGTTTTAAGTTTTGCATTTTCCAATCCCCGGCTAAATTTTACGTTCATGGTAAGAATGATAATCCCTCCATCCAAAAAAAAATTTAGCACAAATCATAAAATTCAATGTTGAATTATTTTTGTGAGAGAAAGAGTATTATATTTAGTTCAATTTTTTTTTTTACTCAATCCATTTTAGAATAAAATTCATATTTATTCAACCAGTCTAAAAAATTAAACTCCTATTTTAAAAGGGAAGGGATGATAGAATTCTACATTACTTTCTTTCACAAGTTAGATCCCTTCTAGGATTGATGATAAGTTTTTCAGCCAATTATCTAAGGTTTTCTTGTTTTTTTTTCTTCTCCAATATATAAACTGGCAGCTTTCACATACACGGTAGGTTTAAAAAGAAAAAACAAAATTACAGTTTTGTTTCATCTCGTAATTGTTTTCAGTCATTGTTGATCTCTTTATATAAGTGGCATATAGTTTTTTTTTGTGTAGTTCACTGTGTTTGTTGGGATGAAAAGGAATCCAGCCGAATTGAATTGGCGAACCAGTTATACCTCCATGGTGTTCGCATTCATTCGAACCAAAGTATATAAAAAAAATAAAAATATTCCGATTAAGTATTAATAAAAAAAAAATTCACCAAAGTATAAGTAGTATTGCTTGAGTTCGAAAACTGAAATGATTGAAAGCAATTCCAAAGAATAAAATACACTCATATTTGAGTAACGCTTTACAAAATGGAGAGTTCAAACTTTTAACGTTTACAACATTTCAAAAAGGAAAATGATTTATTCTATAGTCTATAACGTACTCCCTCTGTCCCATAATTATTATCCAGTTTGATATTTCACTTTGAGTACAATTTGAACTAGAAATGGAAACTTAAACTAGACAATAATTATGAGACGGAGGGAGTAGAGTTTTTTTTGGACGGCCGGTAATATTAACAAGGAAGACGTCTGAATCAATCATTGCATTCATAATGACAAACTTTCTACAGTTCCTCGTTAATTTCTGAAAACTTAATTTATAGGTATTATACTTGGAATCATTTTTCAGCGATTTAGTGAGTAACGGGTAATTTTATTAAAAAGAAAAAAAAAAGAACCCAAGAAGTGGTTGATTTGGTTTGAAAAATGAAGCAGATATAAGATATAATTTGATAGTTTATACTCCATATGAACTTCATCACGAATTATGAATTTCTCACATGGATGTGTCCGGAAGACAATGGACAAAGATTGTACATTTGCCATTCGAAATGTGTAATAATTTTTGTACCAAACCAAATAACATTTAATTCTTTGTCTTCATCCATCCGTACACGGCCTCTTTTCTAGAAAGATTAGTGTAGTGATGTTCTAACCGCCAATATAAATAAATAAATAAAACATTAATGATTTTTGCTTAATGAATTAAGGATAAAATGTGCAACCAGGCCGGTTTCATTCATAAACAGCCAATTTACGGTTTATAAAATATAGCCGATTTTTAATTATATAGTTATTGTTATGATTTGTAAACCGCTAGTTTCAGTTCAATTTTAGAAAAATTATTAAGTACAACTGCTGTTCTGATTTTTAGTGCAGCACGTACTAGCACTTCCCTATATTTTGGTGGTATGATTCCCCTAGAAATAGTCTCTCTCCTCCTCCACAAAATTACTACTTTACCCTATTATTATGTCTTGCTGCACAATTTTACGTGATACAGCAGCTGCACTGAATAATTTCTCCCAATTTTGAGTTAGTTTGTTGACGGTTTTCAACGGATTTCTTGATGAGTTTGGTCCGAAAGTTTTACTGTTCCAATTTAATGTTTATACTGTTTAACAATATTTTTCAAAAGAAAGGCAAAGAAAAATAGCGAATCATGGAAAAAGTACGTAATTGAGTAACAAAAAAAAAGTAAAATAAAATTTTGACCCTGTGGTTAATTTTTTTTTTAATATGAGCAATTTATTTTAAAATTTAACCAATTCTTTCGAATATCTTGTAATCAAATTCCGGCGTGGGATTTTTTTCTCGCAGATGATATGGGTTCGTCTTATTTTTCAGGGCTTTAAAAATTTGAAGGTCGCCAAAAATAAAGAAGAAAAGCTCATGTTAGAATGGAAGGTCTAATGGTTCAAATGTCAACCACCCCCAAAAAAAAAAAAAATCTTATTTATAAAGACTATATTTTCATTTTAATCCTCATTGTTTTTTAGTAAAAACAGAGGCTTAATTCTTGATATTTTTGGGGTGACATCATCAAACCTGTTCGTCCAAGAAATATTTATAAGTATTTTTTGGACTCTTAAAAAGTTATTCAAACATTTCTTATATTTGAGATTAATGGTAACTACTACTTACTCGCACGAATAATTTCAAATTATATTATTAAAGTAAAAGTGTAAAGTTATTTATTCATTAATTATAAAATCTAGTCTTTTCTATTCTGTGAAAAGAATTATAAACTCTAATTTTTTGCTTCACATTCATTTTGAAAAAGAAATTTTAACCAACCAAAGTAAGTTGGTATCTCAAACAATAATATCAAATAATATTATTAAATCTAAATTACAGCTCTCAACTTATACAAATATGACAAAATAAAACTTTCCTATATTACAAACTACAACTAAGAAACGGTAACAAAACAGTAAAAAAAATATACTTATAATTAGCCACACATCTCAAAAAAATGCAAGTTGCCATTACACCAATTCCGACCACCATATAACCAATTTCCCGCACTATCATTTGTAAACAATCCATATAACTACCACCATTATTTTAGAAAATGAACAAAATCTTATATCACTAATCTTATCTTCTGTTTTACCTAACGAATCTATTTAATTAATTGATATTTTTAAAAATTAAGTAAAATTATGAAATAGTTAATACGGAGATATAATACTTAATTTTTAATATACATTTTAATTGAACTTCTATTTGCGTGCCACGTATACAAAAATCATTTTGTATGAATATATAATATTATAAATTACATAAATTTAATATTATAATATTACACTTAATGAGAAAGATTTGGCCAAAGTCTATGGAATCCAAAGTGCTAGAGTCTTTCTCCCCGGGAGAACTTCTCTAAGAGTCAATTTTCATATAGAGTCCTTCATGGAATTATCTTCCATGGATTGATTGTATCCAATTCTGTTTCTTCATCGTCCGAAAACATCTCCATTATCAGAAATCATGTCTTTAACATCTCATCCACCATCTAATCCATGTCGCAACCACTTTGATGGTTATTTTGGAAAATAAAAAATCACGATTTCTGAACTGCCATTCAATCTCTTCTTCGTCGTTCTGCCTCAATGTTCTTCAAAAATTTCTTCTATTTTCCTGTTTCAAACAAACTGTGTTTGATTTTAATCCCTAACAAACTGTATTTTATTTTTGTTTTTACTTTTTCATATTTGTCCGTGTTGTGTTTGTTCAGATTGATGGTTATTCATATCCTTTGTCACTTGAGGTTGCATCCTCTCCTAATTGTTGTATTGATGGTAACAGAGGAGGAGTTAGAAGCAATAATCGGTAGATTAACTTTGAGGGAAAGTGAATCTACTCGTTACTCCACCTGTTCGCTGAATCCGACTCGAATTGATCCTTTTCTTACCATTGTGGGGAAACTTCAGTGTCCTAGAGTTGTATCACATGACTCTATCGCCACCAATTGTCGGAATATATGGTCAGTGCGGAATGGTTTCACAGTTAGGCCAGTGGGGGAGAACACAGTTCACTTCAAGTTTAATGATCGCATTGATCGTGCCAGAGTTTTGCATGGAGAACCATGGTTACTAGGCCGAAAACATGTGCTTGTTCTGAAACCTTCGGATACTCTGGATGTTGATTCCAACATATATCCTTGGTGGAAACAGTTGCACAACTACCCTTTGGATCTGATGAATGCAGATTTTGCAAAGTTTGCTGGAGATCTCATCGCCCAATTCCAAGAAGTTTTCACAGACGTGGATCGAAACTGTATTGGTCGGTTTCTTTGCATTAAAGTTAACATAGATCTCAGATAACCTTTGATGAGGGTTCTGAATTTTGATCATGAAGGCAAGGAGATTACAATTCCTTTGCGGTATGAGAGGCTAGCGGAATGGTGTTATTACTGTGGCATAATTGGACATGTCGAAAACAATTGTCTAACAAGGCCTCCAAATGCTGGTTCTTCTCCCCCAGAATACAGTAGTTGGCTCAAGGCAAAGGGATATTGGAATCCATTTGTCTCCAGACGTCCTGCAAATGAACCAGATCCATTCTATGTTCCTGATGAATCTGATGAAGAGGTCGCTCCATGGAGCGAAAGACAGGAGCATCATGTCACTTTACCATATTTAAGAAACCCCAGAAATTCAAACCCTAGCCACACATCACCAGTTCCCAGCAGTTCTTTTCATATTGATCCATCCTCACATCCCCTGAATCATCCTAAAGTACACCCTTCTCCATCGGAACTCATCATCTCGTCGCCTGCCTCTGATCATCATCATCACAACCAATTTAATCAACCATCTAAACCACATGTTTCTCCTTCCACAAATACTCCTTCCGCAAATACTCCTTCACATGTTCCTATCACTAATTGTATGTCTGTAAACCCTCCTGTTATCACTCCAGTCTCCCTTGCTCCCATGAATTCGTTTAGTCCTCCCTCAGATCCCTCCCCAGAAGCATCAAACCATGTAACCAACACCATTAATCTTTCTCATCCCAAACAGAATGATACTAATGCAACAGGAAAAGATTTTCTCATGGTACCTTCTTCTCCAGTACTTCCAATGCCTTCACTCCCATCCACCATAACTTTGTCCCACATAACTTCTATCCACATTCTGCCCCCCAGTCACTTTTCTCTTCTTCAGTTTCTGTTTCTTCTTCCTCTCCTGACACTCTATCTCAAAACATCTGTTCCACTCATGAACTTCCTCCCATATCTCATGATTCTCTTCTATTTCTACACCTAAATCCTCTTCCATAATCCATAATCCATAATCCACCCTCTCTTTCTGATCATAATCTCCTAAGCCCTTATCTTGTCACAGTTCCTATGTCTCTTGACACTCCAGCAAGGAAAGCAGCCCGACGTTTCAACTTAGCCCGTAATCGTATTATCCAGAATGCTCCAATGAATGAATCTGTTACAATACCAGGTAACAGGAAGTATGATATTGATGTATTTGATGGCTATGATCTTCATATGTTGGATGTTGAAGTCATTGGCAAGAAACACAAAATTGTTAGCCCTGGTACTAATGTTCTTAGTTTGGAATCTTCTTCTACAATGGATGGCGGTGTGGCGGAGATTGGGTCTTCATCCCAATCCACCCCAACCCAATGAGTGTTATCAGTTAGAATTGCCGGGGATTGGGGAGTCCCCGGAAGTTCGATGAATTGGGCAGAGTTGTCCGAGAAAAGTCCCTACATCTAGTTTTCCTTTGTGAAACTAAATGCAACCAGCAGCATATATATAAACTGAAGATGAAGCTTGATATGTTTGGAGTTAGTGTGGATTCGGTTGGCAATTCAGGAGGTCTTGCTATGTTATGGCGAAAAGATGTTGCTGTTTCTTTGCGATCATATTCTAAAAGATTTATTGATGTTGATGTTGATCTTAATGGAAATAGAATTCGTGCCACTGGAATTTATGGTCAACCGGATGTGTCTTTGAGAAGAGATGCTTGGTCTCAGTATGATTCCCTCTACGATCCGGCTAAAAAACCTTGGATTTTCTTTGGAGATTTCAATGAAGATTTGATGCAAAATGAGTTTCAAGGTAGTCGTTGTAGAGCTAACTGGCAAATGGCACTTCTCTGTTCCACTCTGGATAAACTTCAGTTGTTTGATATGGGTTTCGAAGGATATAAATTCACTTGGCAGCGTCTTCTCAAATCATCCGCACACTGAATGTGCGCGACTTGATAGATCAACTTGCAACTCTGGTCTTCTAGATTTATTTCCATGGAGTACGGTGTATAATGTCCCTGTGTTCATTTCTGACCATATGCTCTTACATATTCATTTCAGGAATAGAGGTCCAAATGTCTCTGGTACGAGAAGGAAAAAACCATTCCGCTTTGAAGCACATTGGATAAAAGTTGATGATTGTGCTAAGGTAATAGAAGACTGTTGGAATTCTGATTTTAGTACTCTTTGTGAAAAGTTGGAGAATGTTCATGTCGGTTTATTAAATTGGAGCAAACATACTTCTTTAGACTTTCAAAAGAGGATTGAAGAGCTGAAAAAACAAATCCTGGTATTGCAAAGGAGTCAAATTGATGATCCAAGGCGAGAACAGCTTGGTGCTTTGACAAAAGAACTTGATATTCTTTCTGAGAGAGAGAGAGAGTCTCAAATGGAAGCAACGGGCTAAGCAACATTGGTATCGGGAAGGTGACCGCAACACAAAATTTTTTCATGCTTATGCCAACAAAAGAAAGTCTGAAAACTAGATTGATGGCTGAAAGACCAAACGGGGAGTCTATGTTCTGAAACTTCAGATTTGGAGAAAATTATCATAGATTATTATGGTGCGCTTTTCTCCTCCTTGAACCCTCTCGACTCTGAAATCCAGCAAGCTTGCAGCAGGATAAGCCCCAAAGTAACATTGGATATGAATAATCGCCTATCACAAACATATACGGCGGATGAAGTTGAAAAAGTGCTAAAGGAGATGGCTCTTTTTAAATCACCGGGTCCGGATAGTATGAGTCCTATTTTTTACAAAAAATTCTAGAATGTTGTTAAATATGATATTGTAACTTTTGTCTTGAATTTTTTGAATTTAAGAATTTTTGAGTCCCAAATGAAATACACTCATATTGTTTTAATTCCTAAAGTCAAAAAACCGGACCTCATTACTCAATTCCGTCTCTTTGTGTAATGTAGTCTATAAATTGTGTTCAAAGGTTATTTCTAATAGACTACCTTCATTACTTCCTGCCATCATTTCAGAGTCTCAATCTGTTTTTATTCCGGGTCATCTCATCGCAGATAATATTCTTCTTGCCTATGAGACTCATCACCATATGAAAGTTCGCACCAACTGCAAAACCGGATTGATGTCCATTAAATTAGATATGAGTAAAGCCTTTGATAGAGTTGAGTGGTGTTTTTAAAAATCTGTTTTAGAAGCTCTAGGGTTTTGTTCTTCCTTCATTGATTTAATCATCAATGCCTTTCTACAATTAGGTTTTCATTCGTGCTTAATGGACAGTGATTCGGTAACCTAATTCTAGAGAGAGGGATTCGTCAAGGCGATCCCCTTTCACCTTATCTTTTCATTATATGTTCGGAAGTTTTCTCATGTTTATTACAAAATCTCCAAAATTGTGGTCGTATTTCTGGAGTGGGAGTAACCAAAGAAGCACCAAAGATTTCTCATGTCTTTTTTGCGGATGACACTTTACTTTTTGGTGAAGCCTCAATCACAGAAGCTGAATACTTGCAATGGGCTATCCAACTGTATGAACGAGTTTTTGGCCAATGGATTAATTTTGATAAATCTGGAATTCTTTTCAGCCCAAACACATCTCTACAGGTGCGCGCATCTATATGCCATATTCTGGGGATTCCGCAAGTTGATGGACATGACAAGTATCTTGGACTTCCTTCGGTTGTTGGTAAGAGCAAAAAAGAGGTTTTTGGCATCATCAAAGACCGAGTGTGCAGAAATTATAGGCTTGGAGTTCTAAGACTTTGTCTAGAGCTGGTAAAGAAATACTTATCAAGTCCGTGATCCAAGCTATTTCGTCTTATGCAATGTCGTGTTTTTTGCTTCCTGACTACATTTTGGATGATATTCAATCGATGTTGGCGAATTACTTTTGGGGCGGTTCAGATGATCAGCGCAAGTTGTATTGGCATTCTTGGAATTCCATGTTGCATTGCAAGAAGGACGTGGTCTAGGGTTTCGAAATCTGAAAGCTTTTAATGTCGCCATGCTTAGCAAGCAAGCATGGCGCCTGCTCACAAATCCATCATCTTTACTTGCCAGGGTTTTGAAAGCCAAATATTTCCCAGGCCGTAAGTTCATTAATGCAACCCTGGGATATCGACCGTTGTTAACGTGGAGAAATATACTACAAGGTCGTTCTGTGGAATTAGGGTGTGGGAAGCAGATTCGGAGTGGAATGCAAACAAGCATTTGGTATGACAAGTGGATTCCCGTCGAGCCTTCTTTTTGCACTTCAGTTCAGTCTCATATCTTGTCTCCTACTGCTGTGGTGTCTGAATTACTCATTCCAGGAACAAATGAATGGAACCAAGAGCTTGTTCGTGATTTGTTTCCACAAGAAGAAGCTAACGCGATACTGTCAATGGTGCTTCCTCAAAATCAGTCACATGATCGGTGGATATGGCATCATACTAGGAAGGGCAACCACACTGTTCGATCAGCCTATTATCAATTGTTGTATTCCCCAGAATTCAGCAATGGAAGCATATCCTTGTCCATCACGCCGAGAGGAGTGCAAGATCCTTTGTGGAGAACATTATGGAGCTTTAAACTGCCGAATCGTATCTTGTTGTTTGCATGGCGTCTATCCAACAACTCCTTTCCTACTGTAACGAATTTGGCTGCTCGACACTTGGATGTCCCTTCTGATTGTGCTCTCTGTCAGCAAAACTCTCTGTCCAGTTGCCATCAATTTTTTGTATGTCAATTTGCTGTGCAGGTTTTTCGTATTGCTGGTCTACATCAATCAATTATGCAGTATCACCACCCCATCTGTGAACAATGGTTTCGAGCCATCCTACTTGACAAGAATTTCTCTCATCGATCTTTCTTTATAGCGCTACTTTCTGGAATTTGGCAGGCAAGGAATTCATTGATGTTTGAGCAGCAACGTATAACTCTTTGGTCCGTGGTTTTGCAAGCTAGCAGGATCGTTCATAGTTTTCAGTCTCTCAGTGTACATCAAGAATCATCAAACGACAGACTTCAATGCTTTCCTTTCTTTCAAGCCTCCCCTGCGGATGCTATATCTGTTTGTTTTGATGGAGCAATTTTCCACATCCAACACTGTGCAGGCGCTGGGATAATTGTTCGAGATCAGAATGGTGCCTTCATGTTTGGACTTGCACGATAGTTTCCAAACATTGTTGATCCTGAGCTAGCGGAAACTTTAGCTTTCCGAGAAGCTTTACTGCTATGTCGGAGATTGGGATTAACACATATTGCCATACAAGGAGACTCTGCCTTGATTATCTCTGCTGCAAATATGGAATGCGATGTTTCTTCTGCTTGCTCTCTGATCTTAGAAGACATCATATATATTTGCCAAGATCTTCCGGTTCGCCACATATCATGGATTCCGAGAGAAGAAACTGTGTTAGCTCATTCTTTTGCTAAACATGCTAAGCATGCTTCTGTAATTAAAACTCTATGGAGTGAGCCTCCTAACTTTATATCTCATTCGGTGCTGGACCGTTTTCAGTAATCCTTAATGCAAGTTTGTTTTCTTAAAAAAAAAAAGAAGAAAGATTTGGCCAAGAAAACTAATCTTGTCAGAAATCAATTTAGATTTTTTTTCTAATATTTTGGTAAAAAAAAAAGACCGGAATCGAGGGCGAGCCTTCCTGTGGTTGCTTTCCGTATTCCACCATTTTTTAGCCTCCGAATTGTATTAGATATGAGTTTTAAATTTGAAAGTTTTTGTTTTTTTTGTTTAGAAGTTAGAGAAGAAGAGGAAGAATTTTGGAAGTTGGAGAAGAAGTGAAAAAAGAAGTAAGTTGTAGGGCAAAATTATCCAAATGGATTGTAGGGGAGTAATTTTTTGAACTACAAAAAGTAATTCAGAAACGGAAAGGGTCAATGATGAAGAAATTCCTAATTCTGAAATGAAAGCTGTCAATGTCAAAGAAACACTTGAGTTGTCCCGACGAAACAGAGCATCACAAAGAATCAAAACCTAAAGTTTGGCAACTTGGAGATCTCCAACCCAAATAAAAGGATCGAATCCAATTTGCAATGGGGACAAATTTCATCTGCTATTTTTTTTTTAATTTTTTTATTTTTTATCTTGATTTGGGCTAATGATATTTTTTTGGGCTTACTGGAAAGAATGAGGGAATTTGTCCCGAGATTTGAGAAATTAAAAGAATAGCGTCCCAAACTATAATGTGCAGTAATTAATAAATTCATTCAAGTCCTTAAAGTTTAAAGTTAATCAGTAATTTAATCTCAAACGTAAAAAAGAAAAATTTGAGGGCATTTGGAGAATTCAATACTTATTTATTTTTTAAATAAAAAATTAAATTTGTCCCAATGTTTTTATTGCATTTTTTTTCCCTTCTTTCTTCTCTCTCTTTTTCGCCGCTCACCCCAGTTTTCACCACCATCTAAATTAAATTTGGTTTCCGGTGAGCAAAAATGACAGATTAAGACTATCTAAATTGCTTTTGAGCGACTTAGTGACTTACGTTTTGAGTTGTTTGTGGGGTTGTTAGATGAGATGTTGCCTTGTTGGGTTTTTTAATTTATTTCCCGATTGCATAGTAATTGGGAGGGGATTAGATGGAGGGAAGTGGCGGTGTGACAGGAGAAGAAAAAAAGAGAGATAATAATTTTTAATTAAAAAGTGTATTAATTGCAAATCTATCAAAATATTAATTTTTGTGTTTGGTATTAAATTATTCATTAATTTTAAAATTTGGATTGAATTTATGAATTTCTTATATCTTGAGATGATATTATTTTTATTCCCAAATGTCGGACTAGTTCCCTCATTCTTCCGACTTAATGGTCTTGTATGGTTGTATCCTCTTGAAATGTCACTTATAATCTGGCGAATTGTATGTCCTTTTCTTTCCTTTTTAAGTTTTATTTTTACTTGCTGATTTTGTTTGTATTATCAATAATCCTGCATAATTTGTATTCGAGCGGTAAAGCCATGCACGGCGGCCAGAATTTCAATCTCATCAATGTTAAGCATTTCTAAACCAAACCCAAGATACCGTCAAAAAATCTTTCAAGAATTTGAAGATGTGTGGAAAGAGGACGTATATGCATGAAGTCTCTCCCGACAGTAGTAACAATCCCTTCTCAATAAATTTCACTCATATAATATAGTACAAGTACTTGTGATTGTAAATTTTGAAAAATATAATAATAGTTATTATTATTATTCACCGAATTGTTTCCTTGCATTTCATTAATAAGTTGTGAGACCCAAAACGAAATGATGGGAAAGAAAAAATTTGATACCAAAGAAATTAATTTTTCAAAAAAAGTTAGGTTTGACTCGGCAACAATAACCTTGTCTGTGAGAAGTTAATTATGCTTTATTGACAACATTAGTTTCGACTTATAACATAAATCCTTCGAGGTTATTTGAGTTGATTTGATATGTCCTATTTTCTATTAATCTTACCAAAGCTCAATCTTAGTTCTACAATTATACGCAAAAGACTATTTTATAAGATGTTACAAAAGGGTGTCCAGCGCTGGACATAAGACGTTTATCTCATAGTGAATTGTTTTTTTATAAATTTTTATAATTAATATATATATATATATTATGGATTACGTCACTATTATTTCAAGAAAAAAAAATCGTCCAATAGAGCTTTTCTTGGAAAAGGAAAATATTTCAGGGACGACAATGACCAACAGATTTAGTGCAGTCGGGCAATTCGTAACGACATGCGCATGCTCCTTCCGTAGGGCTTAAAGTGCATTCTGCCGTGGATGAATTCCCACACTTTTGCTTGCATGTTGGTAAGCATCCAACCGTGATATTTTGAGGGCTACAACCAACATCAAATATTATATGGGCACAAGTCTCGCCTTCAGCCACCGGAATATGAGATATCATCATATCCACTGAAAAAACAAAGGTATCATCACAAACAAAATTAATTGGTCTCATCAGTTTAAAAGTTTCAAAAGGGTATATTTAAAGTAAAGGAGAAAAAATCCAAGAGAAGAAACTCCATAAAAAAGGTTAAAATAATAACAATTCATCTATTCATTAATAATTTCATGTTTCCTAAATTATTCTTATGAGGTGCATCGGGGAAACATAGACATAAAAATACATAGTCCATAAGTGAAATTGTTATAAATATGAGTACCTGAGAAAAGAGCTAGAAAACCCAAGAGGAGAGAAATGCAGCGAGAGAACTTCATTTTAGATACACTAAATTACTAATGGTATTGGAAGAGATTCTGATACTAAACAAATGAGCCCTTTGCAGCTTTCAGGGAGCTCTAGTTCTTCAGTTTTATAGTATTGATTTATGGAGGTTCACAATCCGTGGTTGGTGAGCTAATAATAATAATAATTTAGTAAGGTTGAATTATGGCGAGGAGAAATTATGGTAATAAAATTTTTTGGACGGTAATAAGTTGATTATGATAACAAAATCTATGGTTTTGATTATAATGATTGGGTTAGTAGGTGAGAGAACTACCAAAAGTTCTAGATTAACTAGCATATTATACTTAATCTTTTATTTTTTTAATATTATGCAACTAATTAATTCTATTGAACTGCTAAAAAGTTCTGAAATTAATTTGCCTCGATTGACTAGTTTCATCAACAGATAAGCCACTCCGAGTTCCACCAATTTGCCTCCAATGACTCTGTGAAAACTCTCTGTTTCTCTGTGTGTGTATACATATATATATATATATATATATATATATATATATATATATATATATATATATATACTAGTGATGTCTGGTCGCGCATTGGCCCAATATATCTGTAGATCTTAGAAATGTTTGTATCTGGAAAAAAAAATGTTTTGTATTTGGCCCGGTACGTTTTAGAAATATTTGAAGATTTTAGAAATATTTTATAAATGTTACTTCTTAAATATAAATAAACTTGATCAAATATATGTCTTGAAGTAAATGCTAGACAAAATATAAAAGCATCATAATAAGTTTAAATATTAGTAAGATAATTTATTGATGTTCTCCATTGGTTGTGCCAAATCAATACTTAGTTTTGGAGATTTATAATAATTTTGTAGTAAGCTTCCTCCAAATGGTATACGCTTAATTTTTGGAACTATTTCTTCCAAAAGTTTATAAGTAGTAAAATTTAAAAAATATGATTTTGAAACTGGTTAATTGTTGAAACTGGTTGATCACAAATATGAGAATGAAGGTAATGTAAATTTGCATAGGTTTCAAATTATAGCAAAAAAGAACTCACCTCACCATGACAAATAAAAAAAAAGAAAGTAAAAGATAGCCCATTAAAAATTGAAAAATTTATTTTTTTTTTGTAGGTAAAAATTATGTATAAAAATACAAATAAACGTAAAAACATCATTCCTTCCCTCTTCACCTCAAATTCATAAAAGGCTTCCCCATAAATTAGTTAGAAGAAGCGACTTGAACTATTTATATGATGAGAAACTAAAAAAAGTAAAAAAACTAAATCCAAAAAAGTATATTCTTGAAAGTCCGAACACAAAAAAAAAAAACAAAAATGCGCTTCATTTGCAAATAAAATAAAATAATAATAATAATAATTGGTCAACTGGGAGTGTGAAACAAAATCAAAAGTAATTCAATAAAGAAAAAATACACTTCATAACTGACCATATACGAAAAAAACTGAGACTCGATAATTAAAAAAAGAAAATCACTCTAATTGAATGAAACATAAAAAAAAATTTTAAAAATCACACTTTGTAACAAAAACTCAATTAATCAATTTAATCTAAACAGAACTAAAATCTTACAAAAATTCTAGGCTAACTCACCACATAAGAAATCACATCATATTACCAGACAACGGCTAAGGTAGCTGTAATGGATGGACGCGTAAAAATAATATTAATAACACTATCCTTGAACGGAAAAAATAAAAAATAATAAAAGTCAAATAAATAATCTGTGGAAATAAAATTATTTAAATTGTAATACCTGTAATGGTATCACCACAACGGCAGAAGCAAGATCAATGAAAATTTTTTTTTTCCTTTGTGTTTATATAGAGAGGTAAGAGAATATTTTTTGAAGTCGAAATTTTATCCGATTAGGATGTAGTTGATCATCACTAATGAAAAGATTGAACATAATAATAGGAAAGGAGTATATTTCACCACATATTCTCAATTGATGATTGATGAGCAATTTTTTTTTTTTTTCTTAATTGTGGAGAATGGATTGATTTAGGGAGTCGATTGCCCTGGAGATGGGGATGGGGATTTGGGTTTTTTTATGAACCCTTGGTTTTTTTTTTTTTTGTTTTAGTGAAAATAGGAAGTGGAGGTGGATTTGGACTGTATTTACCTTTTAAGTCTCGGAGATGTGTGAATAAAAATTTATTTTAAAAATATGATGTGACAATGCCACATGGCAAATGGGGGTGTTTTCTATTAAGTGTGGTTTTTGTTTCTAAAATAGTAAGATATATATATATATATATATATATATATTTATGCAACCAATAGCTTTAGTCCTTCAGTGTATGAAGTTACTTTATGTTACATTTTTATATGTATTTGTATTTATTCTTTTTGAAGTTTTTATAAATTTGTGAGAATTAAAAACTGAGTAGAAAACATATGCCCTAGCATCTAGATTTTTCAAGTTTTCTAGGACATGTAATAATTTTAAAAAATATTATATATTTTGTATTGATAAGATTCTAATATTCAAAACTTTGGTTAACTAATCACTTATGAGTTATCATGTACTCCCTCCGACCCATCATTATTGTCCAATTTTACTAAAATAAAAGATTTTATTTTTGGTCAAACTTAACTATAGTTTACCTTAAACAACCGGATATACCCTACATAAGTAATTGTTTAACCACTAAGATTTTATGGATAATGTTTTTTACTAAGGACAAATGTGTAACTTGATCCATAAAAAGTCAAGTTGGACAATAATTTTGGGACAAAATTTTTTGGGCAAAGTGGACAGTAATTATGGGACGGAAGGAGTAATTGTTTCACAAAGAAGAGGAAAATAAATAGGAGTAAAGATCTTATAATTGGACAGTCAACAATAAAAAGTTGTGAGAGACTTTTTATCTTTTGGTAAATGAAAATGTCGTGCGAGTGAAAAAGTCACTTTTCTTTCTTTTCTCCCCCATGAGGCACCAAATTACAGTTGTTTAAGTTGCTTAACACTCCACCACTACCTTTTAATTATTTACCAATATTTTAATAAATTAAATATTCATTATCATTACTAAACCGTAATTGTTTTATCATGTTATTTATGTCATTAATGATCTTTAATCTCTCCTAAAAAAGCATAGCACAAAATGTTTGGATTTTAAGTAACATTCATTTTATAATATACGTTTTTTTTATATTTGTATAATTAATTAAATGTTAATTTATCTACCTGTCATTTTATTGGATAAATATAATATATGCAATATTTTTATTTATGAAATGATTATCTTATTTATTTTTACTCATATAAATTGATGTATTAAAAATCATTAACTTTATTTGTTTTGAATTTTTTTTTCAAAATTAATATGCAAGGTTAACATCTAGTATTTTACTTTAAATCAGAAATTCTTCATGAACTTTGAGAAGGCTTTAAAAATAAAAAAAAATACGGAAAAGATGTAAGGAAAATAAGAGTGCTTTCATAAAATCAGAATTCTAATATTTTTTTTTGGGGGGGGGGGGGTGGATAAGATCGTTTCATAGAAAAAAAAAAGGAAAATAAAATTAAGGGGTCGTTTGTTGTATTACTAAAATTTAAGCTCTAGATTTTTAATGATCCAAAAAATTAACGTTTTAATGTCACTTAATTAAAACAAAAGATGACTACAAATTAAAACATAAGTGAATAGATTTGGACTTCAAAATCCTGTGATGACCACGTTTGGTGAGATTTGGACTTAGTTGATTCATCCAGCCACAAAAGGGCAACGCCAACATCGGTGAACTTTACTTGTCGGTTCTTATTTCTTTTTCCAATTATTTTTCTCCACAAAGGTGAATTGGTGCGTTGTTTGCGCCGTAAAGGGGATGGTGCGATGACAATTTCAATCCTCGTCAAGAAAAGTCAATTCATTAAATAAATTTACAATTTCCATTACAATGTCTAAAAATGTTAAGCAATTGTAACCGTATTCCCATTACGTTATTCTTTTTCTGCTAAAAAATGGTGGAAATGGAAAAAATAATATTTTTTAATAAATTAAAATTTTTTTATTTTTATAAAAAGACAATGAAAAAGGCCTTTTCGTCATTATTTTAATAACATTAATAAGAAATATCAAATTGGACAACATTTATTTCATGAAAGACTTTATAAAAACAACTATAAGTAGACATGAACTTTGGTTCCTCGAATTAGCGAAATTCAAAATCAACTCATTAAATAAACTTGAAATGTTGAGATAATATATTTAAATGACTAAAACAACACAAAATCTAGAAACATATATAAAAAAAGGCATGTAAAAATATAATCATCGGACTAAACTTCACATTCTTACGATTTCACGAGCATCTTTATTGGTCTTGATAGCAAAAATAGCTTCTAGTCCAAACCTGCGGAAAACAAATTAATATCACATAAATGATGAAAAACTAATTAAATAATTGATTACAACTACAATCATCATCATTAATTTTGTAAACTAAAAATTAAAAGAAACATACTTACTAACCTGTACTTACAAATGACTGCTTATATCTCACGAAGAAGTTTCAGCACCCACATCTTTTCAAAGAGTCTGGAAGTGTGAAGAAAAAAATCAATATATGAGCATCTGCTATGATGGTTTCTCCAACTTTTAGTCGATCAAAGTCATCTAAATCTGGTATTTTTTGAATTTTTTAAAAAATTTTCATCCTTCGTTCAGCACTACTAGCCTCAAACTGAAAGCAATTTGCAAGTTTTGCAATGTTATCAGTTGTAGCAGTAAAAACCTCTCTCAACTGTTTGGCAACATTAGCAATTTCATAGGACAATTGATCGCTTCCTCTGACCCGTTTTTTTAGCATTGACAGGACCAATGTTTGGAGTACCACATGAAGTTTGTGTTAAAATATTTGACAGATCAATTTCTTCAAGTCCATCTTCTCTATTATTTAAACCCGGCGATAATTCCTCTGCACTATCTGCAGCATTTTCAACTCTTTCACCATTTGCACAATCATTGCCAAAAATGATTGATAGACTTTCATAATATGCAAATGGTTTATTTCTCAATCCTTTTGCATTTGGATGAGTCTAGGGGGAAAAAAAAAGGAAACAAAATTAAAAAATGAAGTAAAAAATGCGGATAATGTATTGTATTAAAACGAAAATAAAACAATCCAAAAGGTTACCTTTGACCATGTGTCAAAAATGTTCTTTTCAGCAGTGATACACTTATCTTGGTCATTCCAACCAAATCCGCTTGCATTAGGACCCATCATCTTTTTAATTGCTGCAGTTTGTTTTTTCAAAAGCCTTATACGAGAATCTATATGAGGCTTAGCTTTAAGTCCACAACCAGGCATCTTATCATCTAGCATTTTCTCCAACTATTGAGATATCCGTCTCTGAAAGTCCCATTGTCACATTTCTAGTGGCTATTTTCTACTAAATCAAGCCACGCTTCAACTAGTTTTCCATCTTCCATTGTTGTCCACTGATGCTTATTCTGACCTCTTCCCCTGATCAGCAGCTTGAGAATCCATATCTTACCTTTTAAATATAGTTACATGTCAAATAATCAACAAATAAAAAAATACTCCATAAATATTTTTTTAAAAAAACGATTTCAATAGACATCAACTCAAAAGAAAAAGCCTTAAAGATTGTGAAAAACTAAAAAAATTCAAAATATAATATAAAATATCCAAAAAATGTTCAATCATGACAGAACAGTAGACAACTTAAAGAACAGTGGAAATATTAATGTCCTATTCTTTGAGGTAATGCATTTCAACTATTGTGATGATTATTCCACTGATTAAACATCTCCATTGCAAGGTTTGTCCTCCACGCAGTCCATTCGTTTGATGGTTCAACCGCAGTAATTAGATTACCATCCATTTCAATGTTGTTCACTTGTTCATCCAACTCTTCTTTTATTGAATCTACCGGCATCTCTCTTCTAATATGATTATGTAATAGAGCACATGCATATATGATTTGACACTGAGTTCTCACTCGATAAAAAGGACTTTTCAAAATGGCCCATCGTTGTTTAAGTAAACCAAAACACCTCTCGGTTAAATGGCATCGCTGCCCTCTAAAAGGTGCTAGAAAACCTTGGCAATTAGCGTAACCAGTATCAACAAGATAATAGAATATAGGTTTAGTCACATATTTTAGTTTTCAAAACACAAGAAATTTTAACATCTCTTTAAACCAAAATTTTATCTAAGTGTACTTTTAAGCAATTTCGTCTACTTACTGCATCTTAAAGTATACTTAAATAACTTGCAGACCCTCCCCAACCAGGTAAAACATATATAAACTGCATCTCTTGCGAGCATACTCCCAAAACTTTTGTAGCAATATCTTGTTTCCTAGATCTATATCTAACTTTTTTTTATTTCAAGCATGTTCAATTTGACATATGTTCCATCTAATGCTCCTAAACAGTTCTAAATGTTTTAAAAAAAATTTAACAAAAAACTCAATTCAGCCATTTAAATATAAAAGATAACATCAAACATGATTTCAAAACACATGAAATACCTTAAACCATTTCCAGTGTGGATATGTGGAGTTTTCTGGAACTGGATCGGGTGTTTTTAGAAGCACAATATGCAAATGCAAGACAACTTTTAAAACTTTGTGAAAGTATTTGCTTGTTGACCCTGAACCTCGAAAATCCAATTTGATTACACGATTTTTCATATGATAAGTAAAATATGAAAAAATAATGCAACCATTTCCTCGACGCCCAAATGTCTACTCCTACATAAATTACCAACATTGCATAGCAAACAACACAATCTTCTAAAAGTGTGGGTTTCCATCCTTAACTGTTCAATGCATATCTTGTCATCCATCAACATTTCACTTAACTTAATTTGTCGTATCAAACTTCTACGAAAAGATAAAGCTGAAAAAAGATGTTTACGATAGTGACTCCTAATCAAGGCTAAGGTCACTAGGAAGAAAAACATGAGCAACTTATAGAGCATATCAATGTACATCAACATCACCATTGCAGCAATTCGTTTCCTCTTAAACAACACAAGTCGAGCCATATTGATAACAGTCAAATTGTTACATAAAAGCATTGCAATTTTGCTCTTTAATTAGTTAGAAATTAGGGGTGTTTCTTAGACTTTGTTCATTTTACTGAGCTAGTTTTGTGTTTCTAAATAGGTGAGGACCGGAGTGAACAAATGCTGAAAATGGGGGCTTATGGAGCAATAATTGGGCTGCTGATCCCAATTTAAAATGAGGGCTGAGTTGGTCAAAAAGCAACTCCAAGACACAAGACACATTGGGAGTTAATAAGGGTGTCCCACAATAGAAACTAAAGAGCATGCTTGTCCCCTTGAATGAAGAACCAACCACCCACATTGATCAATGTTGTTGCTGATATCACTGCTAGAAGAAGAGGAAAAGGCCAGTCAAAATCAGATTCAAGACACAATGCATTAGGGTTAATAAAAAATACACAAGCATGGTGAGACTCTCTTGGAAGAAGAACCGGTAACAAGCTCTATAAAGGGGGCTGCATTTCCAGCACAAAAACAGACATCAGAGGACATACAACATACAAAACACAACAGAGAGAGAAGAAAAGACTGGAGAGGGGAGAAAACTCCAAAGGAAGAAGAAGTCCAGTAGCAGCAAAAGAGGAGTAAAGGCGAGTGACCTGTTGCTCAGCCATCTAGATTTACTTCTTCTCAATGCTTTCCTTCTTTTCTTGTATTTTCTGTAGTTTGTATGTGTAGTTAATTAGATTTCATTCTCTGGAACCTATGTAGTTTAAGTTTGTGAATGCATTCGGATGATTTTATGTTTTGAAGTTAAAGCTTTCATCTTCCTCTTGATTAAATTGGCCATTTGATTGATTGTGCACAGAACTAAGTGAATCCCAGAAGGGTAAACAAGGTTCAGAATCATTTAGCTTCAACTTATGACTTGGAGGTAACAGTCCAAGGTTCTAATTGAGATAGGAATATACTTGGTTAGCATAAGCATTCATATAAGGCTTGAAAACTTCATGACTTCATGACTTGATTAATCATTGGAAAATAGTTTAATTAAGTTCATAAAGATACCTCTAGAAAAAATCGGAAGTGACTTAGAGATATATAAGTGCCTGAATGAGCATGAATTCATACCAAAAGAGTGCAATCTTACAACTTGATTACATAGGGGAAAGAGAATGAATATCCAGTTTGTAGAGTCAGTCCCCTGAGTCAGAATTCTCACTCCCGTGAGTGAGGTTTCATTTGTCTGTTTGTTTTCAATTCTGCAGAGCCATTTGTTTTTGTTTCTTTTCTTTTAATTTTCATATTTGAAAAGAGTGTGCCAACTCTGAAGTTTGATGATAGATTATCCTTCATATATAGGAAATTCATATGATTGGAATGATAATCAACACTATGCACTTTATAGTAGTTTTAATCCTTGTTATGCAACTAATGATTTTTACTCTTATGAGCAGGATTGCAACTACTGTACTCCACCAATGTATTCTTGCTATGAGGACAAAGAGATGCAACGCCGAATCGAGATGGAAGAGATATACGAAGAAGTGTCGCAGATGCGACATAGAACAGATTTGGCAGTCCAAAGAATGCAAGAAGCACAACGCCAAAAAGAGTTCCAAGAGATGAAAGATATGCTAAATGAGCTTGTGCAAAGTACTGAACGAATCATCATCTCCAAACTATAATTGACAACAACTCAAGAAGAGAGAGACAAGAAGCTCATGAGAAAGTAATCTCATCAATGGAGGACAATGATGTAGAAGATGAACCAACGGAGGTGGTACTGCAGCCACTACCTGTACTTCCTCCACCACCATACTCACTCAAGGGAACAGAGAAACTCACTTGTGGGAGTGAGCTGGTAGAAATTGTGGATGTGCTGAAAATTGATGAGACTTATCCTCCAAATGAAGAGGTGGTTGACTTGGGATTTATAGGTACCTTGATGAATGAAGAAGAGTCAACGATCTCCATTGATGAGGGTCATGTTTATGGAGTCAAAGGTAGACATACTTGGGGAGTGCAAGAAGAGATGGTTGATTTTGATCAATTTCAAGCCGAGAAATTCCCCAAAGTGTTGGAAGAGTGGAGCAAGAAAGATTTTCCTCAATGTTGGATAATTCAAAAGTATGCTTCTTGGAGGCATGATAGGCTAATTGATGGCACATTCTTGTGGTATCAAGATGGCTATTCCGAGTGACTTGAAGCCACAAGAGTTGATTATAGAGTGCATCTTGCATTTCAACATTTTGCTTACTTCATGGGAGGCAACCCATGTTCTTTTCCTTTTAGTTTGTTTTTGTGTGATTTTAATTTTTTCTTGTTTAATGTGTGTGCTTCCATGTGCAGAAGAAGTATCAATGCCATCCCAATTCAATGAGTGATCCAAAAATGCAGCAGATCCTGATATCAGCCACTCAGGAGAGTGAGTTTAGTCACTCTCCCGAGTGTGCCTGCAACAAACTGAGTTGTTGTGACTGGTTTGCTTTCGATTTCTTTTAGTCTGCAAGGATCTGTGCTTTGTTTTATGTTTTGGAGAATTGATGTCTGCCCGGTTCACGCATGATTATTGTTAGTTTATTTTTTTTCTAACTTAAATATGGGAATTTTGAAAACTAAAGTTGTTGACTTTGAAATTTTGTGTATATTGCTGAAGTTCTAAGACACTCTGGGAAGTGACTCATGTCACTCGGCAAAGTGACTCTGAACCTACTTGATGTTTGAAGTCAATTAATTTCTTTTACCCACCCATATATTCCGTTTTACCTTCATGTTTTCTTTCTTCTAGGTTCTTGAGACATCTTTTGTATGCCATATCCTTAGTAGCTTGTTACTTCTGAAATTTGGTGTGCTTAATGTGTACTTGCTAGGCTTTAGTTTGGGGTAAAATTCTAATATCTTTTTGAACATTGATGCCATATCTAGCAAGTTTTGTTATAATTTTCAGAATTAGCATGTTTAAGTGCATATGAGTCACCTAGTTCTTTCTGAGTTACGATCTTAAAAGCTGAATCTGTTTATGGAACTATAGTGATTCCGTTTGTTGTTTTCTAGTCTATGTACTTAACCGTATGAACCAAGGAACTTCATGAGCTTAATTTCTGATATCTTCAATCTGTGTTTCAATTCTAATCCTTGGTATTTGAGAAAACTAAATTTGCAGCTAAAGAAGGACTGTAGAGTCACTCCTGCGAGTGACCAAAGTCATTCCAGCGAGTGGCAATGGAGAAAAATAAAAATTCTGAACTCTTCCATACTGCTGTTGAATCTTTGTTGTGTTCTGATGTTCAACACAACCGAGAGTTTCCAAACCATCAAACGCATATGATGAATGATGTGCACCA